TATATATATATATATATATATATATATATATATATATATACGATGGCAGTCGTCAACCACATGCGACTATAATCAGCTGTTCTAAACTTCCTCATTGGAAGTCACGAAAAGCGGCTCTGAAGAAGGCGATACTGCCGAAACGTCAGCTAGCGTTGTATTTTATTGTGTTTTTATGGAAGTAAATGCATGCTGTTTAAAAACCTCGCGATTGCTGAACAAGAAAACGACACATTCATATTCCAATGCCGAGGTTAAGAGAAAGTCGATCCTGGGAACTATATGTATATATATACGTATATATATATATATATATATATATATATATGGAAGGGACGCGCCTTAAAAATTGGGAAAAAAGTGAAACAAACGTTAAACAAATAAAATATTTACAAAAAAGACTGAGAGAAAAAATACACCATCTTACAATTGTGCTCTTTGCAAATGATGTCCATCGCGGCCACTTTTTAACACACAAACGACAGCATCATCATAATGACCAAATAACTCTGCCAAAACACCCATATGCAATAACAGGTTTTTGTCCCCTGATTCAATTCCATCTGCAATCTAGGCTATATAAGAGAGTACAAGTTACAAACTGCTAATCTAGTGCATGTCAATGCTGCAGTAATTGCCTTGAGATAATAAACAGTTCTTTTATTTTTTATTTTTTATATGGGCCGTCTTCACGTCTACTGTGTGGACCCCAGCACTCCCCAAATTCGCTTCGTTTCCTCGCATCCATTTATTGCTTCGGTTACTGCTTAAAGATTTTCATTTCATATTGAATGCCGCAGAATGCTGGTTGGGTCGATTCTCCCTGGAGTCCTGAGATAGCCGAGCTGAAGTGCTCTCACTTGGATTGTAGAGAGTGCTTTTTTCCCTGGCAAGTCCGGTACCAATTTCGCAAGCCCAGAAGGATCACGGGCTTGGTTGGCCGGGAGCGTTATCGAACTAGCACCATGCTCTCAATGACCAATTGTCACTACCACTGTGCTATTCGCCCCATAATAAACAGTAGTACGTAGTAAAAACCAGAAAGTAAAATAAAACCTTGAGAACAAATTACTATAAATGAAACAAACCACGAAGAAGAAGTACTTTGTTGAAATCAATCATCACAGTAGCAGGGTCAAATTTGTTGCTTCCCATTGTTTGACACAGATAGGCGGTGTACTTCATGACTGCAGAAGCCTGAGAAATTGCTCAAAACTTACTCAGGTAAAGTGTCGAAAAAAACATAAACTCCATGGTACTTTTTTTCAAACAACAAAGTCACTTACGATAGGTTTTATTGAGATGGAGTGTCTAAACATGTCCATTGCCTCATGGATTACTCCCTCTGAGTCCGCTTTCAGTGCCCAAGCACACCAAGCTTCAGCTAGTTGTGGATTATGCTTGAGCGCGGTCTCAATTGCCATATGACTTTGGTCCATCTAGAACTGATTTAAAAATCAAAATTAATATGACTTCGAAAGATTGGACTAAGACGACCAACCGCTCCATTAGTGTAGTAAAGCAAAGCCAGTCGTAACCAAGCTTCATCGTTGGCTTTATTCAGCTGAAGCGCACGAACTAGGTAATGCTGTTGCAACGCTGCCGACAATGGGGCGTCATTCCGTCCTCCTTCAACTGCCGATAATCTTCTAGCTTCGGCAATAAGCGTCCAGAACTGTGATCGCATTTGAAAACACTTGCATAAGCTAAGCGCCTTCCGCAAGCACTCAAGTGCCCTTAATGTGTTAATGATTTCATCGGCACATTTTAGCATGTTTCGATTAAATTTCTCGCACTACACTTAATGTCCTGTTTCGTCCTTTCAACTCCAGAGACCTAGTAGGATTTCACAAGTTGTAGAAAAAGCGACAAATTTTAAAAAGAACAAGAAGTTTTACGACGTGAGTGACGTTAATCATCGACCGCATCATTTGTAATTCCTCGATCTCTGTTACTTTACTAACACATCGAGTAATCGTTAAGTGTAGAATACAAGATTTGTTACAGCATGCCACGCAGAATTGATGGTGAACATGGTGTGATAAAAAGCAGCTGGGAAGTATCAACTTAACAAAATAATACAGCAAAAACGTTCCGTGTACCAAAATAAATCAATGAAAATAAGTGTGATGAAATTAGTATACAGTGTCCCTTGTCCACCAGACGCAAACGACATGAAATGAATGCTTTTTGTCATAAATGTTCATCAAACGACTCAGGCATACTCCTTCACTAGTTCCTTTGCTAGTAAGTGGGTTACGCTCCACGAGAACTACACAGTGCACAACACTTCGTCTGAGGCCTTTTATCATTACTACTTCCGCGAAGGAGACATCAAAGAGCGATTCGATTGGCTCTGGCGGAGTAGGTATGAAATTTATTTGTCGGAAGAGATCCTGTGTCTTCTCCTATCCTTCCGTCACTTGACTTCAAGTCCATGGTCGACTCCACATGCAAAGTACAATCTTCGTGTATACAAACAAAACTGCCCACATTTTCATGAATGTGACTACTTGTTCACGCTAGGTATAAGCCATTCCGGCGCAACAGAGAGAAACGCTCATTTCATCAAACCCGCCTGTAGACTGGGTTCAGTAATATGCTTATTTTTGGCTTCTGTCCAAAACCAACACCATCTTAAAAAACATATCACGTAACTTTGAAAGCCACGTAACCCTCACGTGGGCAAGTTTGTGCGGCACAAATCATGTGTAAACAGTATTTTCCAGAGATTTAAAAAGATAGAATTAACATTCACTTGACAGCATCTTCAGATGAATTGTTGAGATGAGCTGAATAAAGCAGAGCAACAGCCAAATCGTTCCATGCCCAGGGATTTTCCTGATTTAAGTGTAGTACCACCGAGTAGAATATTATGCTTGAGCGAATAGCAGACAGCCGACAAGATACTGACCAACTGGCTGGGATCTGAACAGTAATTGGTAACACAAGAAGACGATATTCTTAAGAAATTTACGTACCCCAAGGTTCATCATCAGCTCATCCTGGAATTTCAAGGCGCGAAAAAGGGCGTCCGCAGCTAACTTGTACGCTAATGAGATTCTTGGTTTTTCAGAGATCACACTGTCTAGTAAATTAAATGCAGTTTTCAGATATTTGTAACGTTCACCACTCAGAGTATTGTCAAACAAACGAAGCTGTACCTAAACACATTTCTGTTACGCAAAAAAAAACATTCCAGGAAATACAACAACAAGCAAGCTATGAATTTAAGGGAAGCATGCCCTTACTTGTGCATCCAATAAATCAACAGCATTTTTCAAAGCAGAACCCTGTCCATGACATGAACGCCATCGAGCACATCGCTCAGCCGCCGCGTCGAGATTGTGCATGCGCATCAACACTTGTATAAGCTAAAATAAGTCCATGCTTTTTCAAATAAAAGAAAAAAATCTGACATTTAGAACTGAAAATCGGAGTCAACGGAAAAAGTAAGACTCACGCAAATTGCATAGTCGCTTTCAGGGTCTATTTCCAACACACGTTCATATGCGTTGACAGATGACTGAAACGATCATTAAACTTCTATAATAAGAGTACTACCAAAAGCATAACATTCAGAAAGTTTCCTTCATGAAAATAAAGATACCTGCAAATTACCACGACTTGAATATGCTTCTGCTAAACCAGCCCAACTAACGATGTCATCTGTCACTTCTCGAACAACGTGTTGAAGTTCAGAAATAACTGCATCCCAATCTTGCTTAGCCTTGCATAATCTAAAACGAGTGTTTTGTGCGTAATCATTTGAAGATAATGAATTAGTAAGCGTGACAACTCACTCAACCACTCTTTTCCTGACCCACAACGGTCTCCGGGGTGCGCAAAGTCCATTGAGCAAGGATAGGCGTTGTTCTACCGATTCTTCTGCTTCGCAGTAAACGTCATCAAGTGCCCTAACGTACTCTTCGTTTGTAGGACGAATTTTAACAGCTCTTTCAAGGCAAGATCTCGCCTTTAGCGGGTTTTTGCGACAGAGCGTCTTTCCAAGTAGAAAGAACACACGACTTGAACGCGGATTCATCTTCGCTGACTAAATGGAGTTTAGACATCTTAAAACGTTAAAAAGCAGATTCTACCATTATTCTTTCACGTTTACGAAATTCTAACAACGATCGCTTTGACCAACAAAGCTTAAAAATATTTTGCATCTGAAACACTCACTTTTACCAACAACGACGTTGCGTCTTTCGACAAGGCCATATTCAATTCAGCCACGAGAATGAAATCATGCCACGACGCTAATTCGTCGTTTAAAATACTCTCAGCGTCTACTAGCGCATTTTCAGGAGTGCCACCATTTATTGCACGTAGAACACTTAAAATAATAAAGGATAAAGCTCTCGGCGCTGATAAATCCCTAAGGGATGCGCCATGCATTCGACTTCATTTAGTATCGTTGGAGGTGAATGAATGCATTTCTTGCCTTTATAATGGCTCGCGGCGGCCTACCGATGTATCCAACCAGTGATGCTATCCTCCCAGACAAGTCTGGTACCAATTTGCCGACCCAGAAGGGATGGAAGGCTTGGTGAGCCATGAGCACGAAGATCAATTTAAAGTGTGTGTTGCAGTGGCGCTTCCAACCACTGCGCCACACGCGCCCTCACAAGTAAAACACTTAAATGTGATTTTGTTCGTATTTTTGAGCAAACGCGAGGTGTTATTGTTCTTTGTTCACGATTAAGCTGACGTTTCGGCGAATTTCGCCTTCTTCAGAGCCTGGAAAGGTCAAGTTGATAGCAACTCACTCGGCCAGACGCCTCCATAACCAAACAAAGAAACCCCAAACCAAGATTTCAATCACTTTGAACACAGCTTTGCACACTCACCGCTTTCTATGAGGTCTCCACTAAGTATGTCACGTAGAGACCAACCGCACAGAAATCACGTGGAAGTATAATGTGCCCTTAACATCAGAAAAGCAGTTTTATATACTGCCCTATATCACGCGTGATAATGAGGCATTCTTCCCTGCGGTTTATTTTCGGATTTCTGGAATTAATCCAGAGTGCCTCGAGGGTTTTTCGCGCCTCTGTTCTCGATTCGCGTGCGAGGATCGTGACACATACTTCGAAGTCGTCCCCGTTATGTCTCTGGGTCCTATGCGTGCCTAGCGGGGTATTTGGTCTATTTTTGCCGGCTAGGTGTTCTTTCATGCGGACACAGAGGGGTCTACCCGTTTCGCCAATGTATTCGTCACCACACGTCTTACAGGAGATCAGATAAACTATACCCGAGCTCATGCAATCACCGTCTCTACCACTGAGG